GTGTAGGGGTAGGTGGAGGGGGGGGTACATCCACCCACCTGTTCAAACATGAAGGCAAACTCCACACTGTCTCTGGGAACGTTGTCCGTGTCCAGGAAGCAGTAGAGCTTGAAGTAGAACTTCCAGCCGGTGTTGTTCTGGTCCTGACCGGCTGAGAGTCTGGACAGGAAACACTCAGTTAGAGACGGACAGGAAGTGAGGAGACAGAGGAGAGACAAGCAGGCGGAGACGGAGACGGAGGTTACTTCTCAAACTTGGCGAGGACGTCTGCCACCACGCTCCGACTCTCGATGGCCTTCTCCACCGCCTGGTTGTGTTCGAACAGAGCGAACATGTTCCTGCTGTTCTCCATGGCCAGACCTCGGATCAGCTTCTCCACCACCTCGAACACACACACACACACACCAAATGATGCTAGCACGTTAGCACGCTGTTAGCATCAGGAAGCTGGGACTTTTATGTCCGTCCGGTCATTTTTTTTAAAGTCCTTCAAACTCCAGGCTAATCCAGGTTGGCTAACCTCCAGCTAACCTCCAGCTAACACCCCCCCCGCCTCCCCCGCCCCCAGTGTCACTCACCTCTCCAGCAGTGGTGTGTGAGTCGATTGTGATCTTGCAGGAGCCCCCCCCATGGCAGTGGACGGTGGTGTTCATTTCCTGTCTGGCCACGATGGCACGGATCTCCTCCTGCGACGGGACGTACTCCCTCACCCGCGTTCTTCGAAGGGACTCCAGGCAGAAGGAGGCGTAACGCTCCATCTCCGAGCCAGGGAACAGCTCCCGAGTCCTGGAGGGAGGAATTCCGGGCCACAAGTTAGAGTCTGGACCTGGACTGGACCTGGACTGCGGCTAACAAGAACCTATCCTCGGACCTCTTCAGGTGGAACCTGAGGTATCGCAGGATGCCCCTGGTGGGGGTGAAGGTGCAGGACATGCAGGTCAGGATCCTCCAGCTGCACAGATTCCCAGGACCTCCAGGCTGGGGCGCTCTGCAGGTCTGTTTGACCAGCTGGCAGTAGAGCTCGTCCCTGAGCTGCTTCAGCTCCAGACCCGTCTGCAGGAGGCCCTGGATGATCGGCACCGGGTCGGCCACGCCCTCCAGGTGCTGCAGAGAGCTGAAGACCCGCAGGGCCTCGTCCTGCAGCGTGGTGTAGCTCCTCTGACGGGAAGCTAACAGGCAACAGCAGACAGGAGGAGACGGGAGGAATGACATCGAGGCCAAACTCAGTCATCATGCTAACCGTTAGCTAGTTTGGATATATTTAAGCTACATTGCTGCCATTGTTTGAACAGCTAAAGCTGTTTGGTTAAAGATCGTTATTGACGAACTCTGAACTTGTATCAAGTTTTGTTGTTTTGTTGTGCGACTCTCGTTCTTTTTGGCTAACCATTAGCTGTGTCTTGTTATCTCCTGGCTAATATTTTGAGCTAACTTTAGGCCCATCCAGACAATCTGCTCCTCCCTGTGACTCACTGCTCAGGTGGATGTCCCCGTAGGGCAGCGGCAGCAGGGGTGTGTGCAGCGGGTGGTGGCTGAAGCGCAGGATGGGGTTCCTCCTGTAGATCTGCTCCACCACCTCTGAGTTCAGACAGTTCTCCTAGAAGAAAAGGAGAACCAGACAATGACAGAGGTCCCACGGAGAAAATCAGAGATTTTAGTTCAGACCAAAGTCCATGGAGAAAATCAGAGATTTTAGTTCAGACCAAAGTCCATGGAGAAAATCAGAGATTTTAGTTCAGACCAAAGTCCATGGAGAAAATCAGAGATTTTAGTTCAGACCAAAGTCCATGGAGAAAATCAGAGATTTTAGTTCAGACCAAAGTCCATGGAGAAAATCAGAGATTTTAGTTCAGACCAAAGTCCATGGAGAAAATCAGAGATTTTAGTTCAGACCAAAGTCCATGGAGAAAATCAGAGATTTTAGTTCAGACCAAAGTCCATGGAGAAAATCAGAGATTTTAGTTCAGACCAAAGTCCATGGAGAAAATCAGAGATTTTAGTTCAGACCAAAGTCCATGGAGAAAATCAGAGATTTTAGTTCAGACCAAAGTCCATGGAGAAAATCAGAGATTTTAGTTCACAGTCCAATGCATCTATCATGAACTGTAACTATTGTCTCAGCCTCTGACCTCAAGTCACACATTTCCTCTAAGACGTCTGCTCCAAACCAGAGTTTTGACAAACCTTTGTTTTTCTGAGCATTTCCCATCTCTGACTCATATTTTAGCTTTTCGTGCTATATCATTGGCTAACCTTTGGCTGTTCAGACATACTTTTCTCAACGACCAAATTCCGACCCCATTTTCCAGCCCCGCGGTCTGCGCTTCTGTTATTCCTACGTTCTCACCCTGATGTCCTGGAGGAGCTGCTGCGTGGGCGTGTCGATGGGAGCCTTAGAGTCGATGACGTTCTGGACAGACGTAGCCCAGCGCGTGGCCTCCGTCAGCAGCTTACAGTACAGACGATACGAGTGTCTCCGGCCGAACACCGTCACGTTCCAGTAGCCTGAGGGGAGAAACAGGGACGTGGTCCAGTCTAACTCGCTGAATGTGACCGTTTGACAAATGGATTTCAGTCTAAAAAACAGCTCCTCATAATGTGACGTTAGTGTAAAGGTGAAGGCGGGGCTTATTCCTGGCCTCAGCGCTGACGGCCTCTGACCTGTCTCCTTGAAGACCCGGTCGTCCGGCGGGACCACGGAGCACAGACTGTTCAGCACTAGCGTTCCCAGCTTCAGCGCGTGGCGCTCTGAGCTCTTGTAGTAGTCCAGGGAATTGTGGGTAAGCAGGAACCAGCGTTTCTTAAGCTTCAAGGAGGTTCTGCTGCTGTTCCTCATCTCCTTGTGCAACCAGCCTGCAGGAAGTGACGATGGAGACAGGAAATGATGTCAACACAGAGGTCACAAACGTTGGCTAACTATTAGCATCCGCACTTCTGGCTAACTCCGAGCTGCGTCTTGGACAAACCTCTGACGATGAACTCCTGTCCGTCCACACGTGCGTCTCCTTTGGAGCGCTGCAGCAGCGTGATCCAGTGGTGCATCTCCTCCGGCGTGTCGGCGTTACAGTGGAGCACGCGGTTGGCTGTGATCATCACGAAGGAGTTGGGTCTGAAGACAAGAAGAAGAAGAAACGTTCACACTGACCTGTCAACGACGGGCAACACCCGAGGAAACAGAACAACGTGACGTCACCGTCTTCATCTACTCCACAGGTCAGAGCCGACCCGAGATAGAGGGGAGTTGGAGCCCCCTGCTGGTGGACCCCCCCCCCCCCCCCCCCCCCCCCTCCTCACCTCTCTGGATTGTCCGACGCACAGACCGAGTCGATCATTCCGACGTCCAACGTTCCCTGGAGAAACAGACCAAGACAAAATTCATCTTCCCCACAGAGAAGCTGCCGCTGCAGTCAGCTGACTCTGGTCACATGACTCACCACGGCGTTCTGGGGGTTGGCCTGTTCATCGTGCATCTCCCTGATCTCCTGCTCTGTGGAGGCTTGGACCTGATTCAGAACGCTGAACCACTGACTGTAGAGAGAAGACAGACCACGGTCTACAGACTGGTCTACAGACTGGTCTACAGACTGGTCCGCAGACTGGTCTACAGACTGGTCTACAGACCAAGGCCTACAGACTGGTCCACAGACTGGTCTACAGACTGGTTCACAGACTGGTCTACAGACTGGTCTACAGACCACGGTCTACAGACCACGGTCTACAGACTGGTCTACAGACTGGTTCACAGACTGGTCTACAGACTGGTCTACAGACTAGTCTACAGACTGGTCTACAGACTGGTCTACAGACCAAGGCCTACAGACTGGTCCACAGACTGGTCCACAGACTGGTCTACAGACTGGTTCACAGACTGGTCCGCAGATACCAGTGCTAACATTCATGTATAGCGGCTGAGAAGCTAACATTCGCGGCTGTTGTACGCGCTCCACCAACAGCACACACAGCCAACACCGTGCTAACACCTTGCTAACCCCTTGCTAACCTGGCGTCCTCGGCCGACTCTGCGATCAGGTGGTACGTCCTCTCTGGCATCACGATGTTTATTCCATTTTCTTTACCCGTGTTATCGATGATTTCTCTGCCCGGCACAAAACAAGAATAAGAAGGTGCTGATTTAAAAACCCTGACGACAGAAATGTTAGCCCAGAGTGGGCGGAGCTTAGAGAGAAGCACAAGAACAGACCAGGAGGAAGTGATGTCAGCGTTACTCCAGAACTGACGGCCACACATCGGACCATCAGAGCTAGCATAGTTACACGTACTTGGCGTCGTGCACGTCCAACACGCCCTTCATCTTCTCTTCACTGTCGTTCTCGAAGTACATCAGGCGGCTCTGCCGCAGCACGAACCAGCGGCGTTTCCAGTTGCGGCGCGACAGCGTGGACGAGCCGCCGCCCTTTTTGTGCAGCCAACCCTGCTTCAGAGCTTCTTGTTTGGACCGGAACCACAGGAAGGTCTCGTCTTTTAGAACACACCAACGCCGCTTCCACGTGTTCATCAAACCGCCTGGAACCAAAACGCTGAGTGAACGAGAAGGTCCTGGTTCTGGTCCTGGTTCTGGTTCTGGTTCTGGTTCAGAACCCGACCCGTTCTTACCTTTGATGTGCAGGAAGCTGTGGAAGTAGGGCAGAGTCACGCAGCTGTACACAGAGTCCCGACGGCACGACAGCTCGTCATCGGTGTCCAACCGCTCCAGGTCGTCCTCGCTGTCCTCGAACTGGAAGCAGAACAGAACCAGAGGTTTGACACCGAGCCGCGCTGCGTTGACGGAAGGTGAAGCTCCTACTCACCGACGACTGGACTCCCTCCGAACCGAGCCGGAAACGGCCCGAGCTGCAGTAGGTGCCGACGGAGCCGCGGTAGTCGGCTGACCACTGCTCGCTGCGGGGGTCGGAGAACGCCACGCTGCCGCTGGACGCCACGGCGCCCTCGTCGTAGTCGTCCTGATCGTAGTCCGAGTCCTCGTCCGGTGGAATGAGCTCCACCGGCTCGGTCCGAGCCTCAGGCGATCCCGCGGGGCGGCAGTGGGTCGGGTCCCCGCTGGAGGACATGACGTGACAGGGCGGGGCCCCTGACGGAGGGGGCGGAGTCTGGAGCGGCGGGGCGGTCGGCGGCAGCACGCCGTCGTTGGCGTAGGGGTCTTCCTCAGACGAGTCGTCGCTCGTTCTGATGCCGCTGGTGCGCTGTCCGTCTGAATGCCCGTGCTCACTGGGGTTGGGGGAGTCCTTGAAGGCGTCATCGTCGGCTCCAAACCCTTCGTCCACCTCCTCCTCGTTGGCGCCTCGCCTCCGTCGGACGTCCTTCTGCCTCCCGGCGCCTTCGCTGATTCCCAACGAGCACTCGATGTTCCTGACGCACTCGTCGATTTCATCAAAGTTCAGCGAGTCCAGGAACTGCTGGGCCGCCCTGCAGGCCTCGTCCTCCAGCCGCTGCAGCTCCTGGTCACGGAGCAGCTGCAGCCGCTGGAGGGAAGCCTCCGTCAGGGACAGCTCCTGCCGCTCCTTCTGTCTCTGGAGAGACTGGATCTCCCGCTCCAGTCGAAGGATCTCCTCCACCTGAGACGCTTCACTCGGACGAATGGCCTCCTCCTCCTCCTCCTCCAGAAGGTCGGCTGATGTTGGCGCCTCCTCAGCTGTTTGACTCCACACTGAGGAAGGCTCCTCCTCCTCCTCCTCCTCCTCCTCCTCCTCCTCTGCAGGGCTCAGCTCCTCCCGTCTCCTGGCTTCGTCGGCCTGAGGACGGAGAGAGTGGCGTTATTACCAAACACACGGGAACCCGCGGTGTCCGACCCGTGGTCTCTGACCCACGGTGTCCGACCCACGGTGTCCGACCCGCGGTGTCCGACCCACGGGGTCTTACGCGCGAGAG